CTGTGTGTGGGGGGGGGGGGGGGGGGGGGGGGGGGGGGGGGGGGGGGTGTGGGTGGGGGGGTGGGTGTGGGTGTGGGTGTGGGTGTGGGTGTGGGTGTGTGGGTGTGGTTGTGTTGCAGGGTGAAGCGGTGTGGGTGTGGGCCTGATGAGAAGAATATTGACACCCACACCCTTAAAATAAGCCAAGAATAATATTTAACATCGATAAATGAATTCGTTCTCTTTTTACCGATTTGAAGAAAGCAACTAAAACTGGCAGGATGGGCAAAGTAAGAAGAATAGATGAACATCTTGGTTGTAAATATTATATCTGGACTTCTATACAGTACAAAGCGTTTTGCGAAATTATAAAAAAATCTTAGGAATCCTCGCCAACTCTGAAGGATCTGAATGTTTGGAAAGTATTTTGTGTTTTCTCGAAACTTGCTTTCCAATCCAACTGAACTGCTGATGTTCTTCTTGTCAAGCGAATGTTTACAACTCAAAAAGACACTTCAAATGGTTTATTGTTTCATATTTTGGAAGTAGTCAGCAGTAGAAACTAACAGGGCAAGAAAAGAAATTGTTTTGGTACATCTCATTCCGTATCTCGCCATATTTGTCTTGTCTCATTTCTGTCAAATAGATCCGAAGGTAACCCTTTAAAAGTCAATGTCACGCACACCTATTTAGTGATATATAATGATTGAGAATATCTGAAAAAGGGATCAAAGGTGCAATCAGAGAGAGGCTGTGGGTGTGTATGTGAAAAGAAGATCCATACTCACACCGACACTCACATATCCCCACCCGTAGTCAAATTGTTGAGTTATCAGTGTACGACAATCACGCTTGGTTTCGTCATCGAACTCTAGTTTTTGGGATTGAATTTCTTTGATCATTGACAGTCAATGATTGACTGTCGTTGATTGCAGATTTTCAAAAAACTTTGACGACACTGATCAGACTGCTGAATAATGATCGAAATGCCGATCAGATTTTCGGACTTAGAATCTGGAGCATATGATTGCAATGTTTGAATGATCGACTTATACAGTTCTTGAATATTTCGACACTGGTGTTTTTTCACTACATCAACAGCTTTATCTACACACTCACTTACTATCTTCTGCAACTTTATGATCTGAGATGTGACAATATGATCAGCACTGAGTTCAACATAAGTTACGGTCAGTTCCGAATAGTATCGATTTATATCTAGCACATACTTCATATAACTATTTCCATCAGATGGATTTGAGCCGATACAGTTGTCATAAGCGTTTCTAATAATATTTTCCGGATCAATATTTGAGTTTTGAGTGATTTTTAAATTAGTCTCATCGCTAACTGTCTTCTTGAATATTGTTATTGTTACTTTGATGATTTGTTTTTGTAAATCTCCTATAAACTTGTGTCCTTGTTCACAAGGATCTTTAACCAAATTGAACTGTTCCACGATACTTTTCATCCAGTTTTTTCCAGAGCTTGCAATATTTCATTGTTCTTTGTATTGGAAATACGAATTACTTCGTCGGTGAGGAGACGAAGTGCGATAAAAATGAGATCAGCAGTAATTTGTGGCAAATTAATTGAGCGATACTTTTGCTGGATTGATGATCGTTGCCCATTCATTGAATTATCTACATAGTGTACAAGGTTGGTTGCAGTTTGTGGATCAGAATATGCTAAATTAATAGAATTAAGCATGCTGACAAGATTATGATTGAGATCCAGTATGATGCCCATTTAACAAAAAGAATGGCCAAAATTCACTTTTAAGTACTTTCGGTATTAATAATAAAGTAAAATAAAGTAATTATTCCTACTATTTTTCACTTTTTTTTTCGTGAATTTTGGTACATTTTTCCACTTTAAAAATTGCTTAATCGTATTTTTTCATAAATTAAGTATTTTACGTTATTTTTACACTTTTAAAAGTACTTGAATGTACTTACCAGATTCGAAAAAGTAATATGAAAGACTTCTGATTCTTTCGAAAGTGCTTCAAAGTACTTTCCAACTCCAGCAGTATATTAAATTAATTCTTTTACTTGCTTAAGTACTTCTTAGTACTTTCCAGTATCAAAGAATTAATTCATTGTACTTTCCACCGGACAGAAAGTACTTAAAAATACTTTGCCAAACAATGGAATATATTAAATTAATCTTACTGCTTTCTGAAGTACTTTATAGTACTTCTCCACTTTTTGAGAAGTAATTCACAGAACATAATAATACTTTTCAAAATCATGCAGTACATAATATTAATTTCAATACTTGTCTAAGTAATTTATAGTACTTTTGATTTGTTTAAAATTATTTACTAGCACTTTTTCGTATTGTGCAGTTTATAAGCATAATTTTTTATCCGTTCTGGAGTACTATAAAATACTTTCCACTTCCCCAAGAAGTAATTCGTAGTCCTTCTATCAGCTTGAAAAATACTTCTTAGTAGCTTTGCATTTTTTTGATTGCAATGATTTTAATACTAGCTTAAGTACTTTATAGTGCGGGTGTGGGGTGTGGGCGTGGGTGTGGGTATGGGAGTGGGTGTTGGTTTAGGTGTGGGTGTGGGTGTGGGTGTGGGTGTGGGTGGGCGTGGTACTTCTTTTGACAGACACCCACACCCACACCCTCGAGATAATATAATAAGAAAATATCGTTGATGTTAGCCTCAGATTTCAGTCTGGGTAAAGGTTTCGAGCTCAAGCTTTTGCCTGCAATCAGGACTCATTAAGTTCTTCTTATGGCAGAAGTTTCAAGACAAACAACCCTTGTTTCAATGGTTTTTGTCTGGTAGCGGGACTTTTGTCCACGACTGTATATAAAATGCGAATTAGACGCTAGGCAATATGTTGTTTCTTTCTCAATCAACAGAATGAATGGGATAGAAAAAAGTAAAACGAGAACAGAGGAAGAACTGCACAAATCTCGTGGTGAAGGAGCACGAAAAAAAGTTTGAAGGAATTACCCGACACGAAACATTCGATGAAAAACGATTAAAAAAATACATTGTCTCCTGCATGGTGGTTAACAGGAGTTGTTCTAAAGACCATGAGACATCACACAGAGATATTTTTACATGACGTACTTAGTAGCGTTGGATAAAGCTCATGGATAGCTATCGACTGATGCGAGAATCAGGTCCAAAAAGTTGATAGGGGCGCACATTAGCAAAAGAAAAGAATTTTTGCTCAACACAGTGAGCAATTTGAATAGAGGACATGGACATAACTTATTTTTCGTCGAAAACGCATTTTTTCATACATATGTTTGTTTCTACTGTTCAGAACATATGACAGATTTAAAAAAGGTAATCCGACAAAAAATTTCATACATAATCCGTGAGTGGAACCCTTGCTCTTAATCTTGTCCAAATTTTGTTTTTATTTGGAAAACTAACAATTGATATATCAGTCGATGAGGTTTTATGCGCTGATTCCAAATATAGCATTATTTCTATAAAAGTGTTTCGGAGCTGAGAAAAAAACTGTTTACTTCAATAACTAATGTTTTTGGGAAAATCCATAACACAGCCCAGTATCAATTCTGCTAACCCTGTAGATATGTTGTATGTAGTACAACATTATGAATACAACTCATCTAATTTGAAGCTTCGACAAACCCTTGCGGATCAATCGTAGAATAATAAACTCTTTAGGGTAGATTAAGAAAGGGCCCATGATACGATCGAACACTTTGGGCAGGACACATACTCTTGAAAATGTTTAACCTATACTTTTTATGATTGCAATCGAAAGCTCATGGTTAGAAACTACTAAATCCAAAGTTTCAGCTCTTTCCATCAATGTCTTCAAAAGTTATGAAGATACTATCGATCAAACCCAAATCGACATTCAAAAAAGTCGTCTTTTCGCTACTCGTGGAGTATTTTGACATTTTCTCTAAAATTGTTCATTCGATAAATATGAATCATATGTCGAAAGATAGAGCAAAGCACGCTCTACAAAATAGTATATGCAGTGTCTCGAAAGCGACTGATTATGGGACCTGAGACTCACGGAATCTTAAAAATTTAGCACTTTGGGGTGGGGTGTGGGTGTTAGTATTAGTCCTCTCTTCATCCATACCTACACCCTTACGTTTTCTTCTGCTTTTTTATATATTAAAAAACTATAGTAAAATGATGATTTCATGAACATGAACGAATGTAATTTGTCCGATGGGGTCGGATCGGTTTAGGTTTCAAATAAAACTGTCAGGTTGGATGCGGGTTCCAAAAGTTGAACACGTGTAGGACTCTAACCCACACTCACACCCCTTAAATTATACGTCTAATCTTTCTCTACAAATTTGATATTCTGAAAAAATTAACCATATTAGATTTGTTATAGATATTATCGATTTAGAGAGAGAGATCGAAACTTTTGAATCGCCCTTTAGTAATTATTAGAGTTCTGAGACTTCCAAATTTTTTTAATATTTAAAATGCATATTCATCTTCATAGTTTCATATATTTATTAAAAATGAAATATAAACATTCAACATAACATTAATATAGTTGATATGAGAGCAAACGAAAACCTTTAATCGTTGAGAGTAAGAGTTTGTTCAGTCTTTTGGACAATCGAATCGACTTTATCTGTGAACCATTCAATTTCTTCTATGTTAACAATAGTATCATGAACAGCGAATAAACATCTTATAAGATCAGAAAAACATTTAACAGCTCCTTCAAAATTAAATTTATAGACTAAATATCTCCAGATGAGTTCAGTATATGTACTTTGAATATGTAAAATTTGTTTGATATTTGATAAATTTACAGGAGGAGTATTTGAATAAACTGTATATTTAAATGTTGAGAAACAAAGAATAGCAAGAAGCAGTTTCAAAACGATCACATCAAAATCAAGTCGATGTGCTACACGCTTAGTAGCAGTTATTGTAGTTGGGTTAGTAATCATTCCAACAGTATCATAATAAGCCGGATAACTGAATAAGTGAATTTTGTAGTAAATGAAATTTGAAGAAAGACTTCCAATATGTTTAATTGTAGTATGAAGTAAAATAGAACGATCATCTCTAGATAAAGAAAAAAAATCTCGATTATTTTTGTATAATAATTGAGTTCCATCTAATAACACTTTGATAAATTCGAGCACTGGTGCACTTTTAAAACGAATTTTAACAGGTAAACTAGTTTGTCCACGCATGAAACTTTCACCTATTGACAATCCACTATATTCATCATAACAATGTGACAAACTTGAGAGCAAAGTCCATTGATCCATACTTAATGTTGATTGATCTCTTTGTAAAAGATTCAAAGTAGTAACCTATATATCAACAACAAAACAAAACATTAGTAGAATATAGACTATTTGTGAAAGTTTCAATTCTATTCAGATTGATATATAATTGAAACATATGTATCATTTTATTATGAACAAGTCAATTGATATCTAATTAGTAACTTTAACTAGTTAAAATTAAAATCAACAATCAGTACTTGTTAATAAATTAATCCAGTGTACGTCACTAGAAACTAACATTAAAATTCTAAGAAATACTCAGGTCGAAGCGAACGAAACAAAAACGTATTTTTGCTCTGTTCGCCTCAACTTGGATAATCTTTTGTTTTAGTTTAGATCCTATTTAAATCGAGTTCAAATATTTTTGTCCTTAGTTTCATTCAATAGATATTCGCTCAGAGAATTGAATCAAGGAGACAATTCCAAGATATTCTTTTTTTGTGTTTATTCTATGGAGTTAAATGCCTTCTATAGATTAAGCATATTTTAAGAATGAACAATATTCATTCTATGCATGAAAAAATTTCAAGAATCTTAAATCTTACATTATATAAACCAATAAAAGGTAATTTTCTTTACGTTTCTTTGAAAATTAGATTTTTTCAGCAAAAATTTGATATTTTGCTTCTTTTTCTTTCTCATAATAAAGCTTAAAGGGATAATTATTTTTTATGGGCACCTCATCTACATTGGAATGTATTCATTTTTTTGTTGAGACATATCATCCTTAACACAAATGACAGATAGGATAGAATTAATACAATTAGAAAAAGGCACGTAGCCCTATTGAATACAAGTGGTTGATGTAGAGACAAATTTTAACTCTAAAAAATAATCTATGAAATTTACTAGAAGGAAAAAGTAAAACCATTTTCTAGCTTCTACACTGTCAGAAATTCTGAAAACGAAGCACCTGAAAAGTTTAAGTCTATAATAAATTTAACTTTTCTCACGAGATCTATCCACTTTGAAAGTTACTGAAATTATCGAGAAACCTCAGCACGACGAGCCTATTGAACTGTAAAATTTAAAAGTTACTGTGAATTTTTGTTTCCGAGACAATTATAAATGGTTGAAGAAAATAATGTATCAATTTAAAAGACTTTACTCATAGTGGCAATGGTCATATATTTAAGTAACGTATGATACAAAATTAATGAGACAAATGTCGGTCCCTATTTTTCTTCGATACAAAGCTACAGAAAGAAAACTTCTTTTTAAAAGGAAGTTGCATACGATTCGAAAGAGGAAAAAATTCTCTATTCTTCTAGTAAAAAAGGTTTTCTTTCAGTAGCTTTGTATCGAAGAGAAATAGGGTCCGACCTTTTGCCCATTACTTTTGCATCATACGTTATGACAATCATATAGTCTCACCTTTGCAGGCTCACTTAATCGAGCTAAAGCATTTGATGCTCTTTGTTCTGAATTGGCGATTAATTTTCTTTTTTTATTTGATTTGTTTCTGTTTGAAAAAGTAGATTGAATCATCTCAATTTGCATTCCACTTTTGAAACATTTGACAAGTCGGCAGAAAGAACAAACATGGCGATTATTTATATTTATTTCACAATGACCATCATACCGACATTTCAATGTTTCCTAAAAAGAAGAAGCGCATATAATTAAAAGAAAATTTTTTTTTTCAATTGACCTGTCCATGTTTAGCATTTCGTTTGAAAAATACTTTACATGGATCACATGAAATAACCCCAAAATGTGAATATTTAGCAGGAACTTCACAAATTTTGCATTTAGTTTGTATCATTGTTGACTGTCGTTTTTTATTTGTAGAATTATTAGACAATGAGTTTTCCATCAGCAGAACACGTTTCTATTTAATTAAATCTAGAAAAAGAAGACACAATATTAGAACTACGATATTCAACAGAAATTATTAAGAGAAGATTCAAACATTTATCAACTTATAATCCAACCCATAAAGAACAACTACAAAACTGTTAAAAACAACACAATTATTTTGTTTAGAATGTATCTGTTATTTCAGATTAAAATAATGATTCTGGTGACAGTTCCACACTTATTTTATGACTAAATGATGTAAACCTTAATCTAGATAAAATAAAAAGAGGCCGAGAAATGAAAAGAGACAGAAAGAAGAAGATTTTTTTCTTTCATTCTGAGAAGGGAGAATGTTGATATTTAGATAAGCACTCGTATTATGACGATGAATTTAAGAAAAGGATTGTCATTATGCAGACAAACAACAATACACCAATAGAAGTTTAGGCAGAAACTAAGTAAATGAAAAAAGTTCATGAAATTCAAATTAAAAAGATGAGAAAAAAAGTCGCATATCGAATAATGAAGCGGACACTACAATTAATATATTATAAATACATTAATTAAAACAAACATTTAAATTCTACAATTGCAGTGCATTCAGTTTTTAGTTCAAGTTACATATGGCATTAATTGGATGAGAGCGTACGTTTTCATTATTGAAACCAAAATATGTTAGTTTAATTTTTTGTTTCGTTATCTAAAATGTCATTTTATTTCATGCTTTTGACTATCCGAATTGTAACCATTTCTTTTCATTTAGAAGAAAATTTGTTTCGGAACTCACATATATTTTTGAAGAAAATAGTGAGCGTAAGTTTTAAGCTGAAGTTTTCAGCTTCTCCTCTCCTCGTCTCCGCTCATTAAGAATCTAATAAGGCATCCTTAAAAAAAAGAAAAAAATTCTGCGCAAAATGCAGAAATAAGTAAGATAGATCCTTACTCTGATCATTAATTATCTTGGAAAATAACTGTCAGCTACAAGAGATTTTTTACTTGACATAATTTGTATTAGTTTACTGAAATTAATGAACACATGTCAGTTCTACATTTCAGCTCTAAGGGCCTGCGCTAACAAGTTTTTTTTTCAATCTTATTCATTCTTCAAATAAGTTAAGCGCAATCAAATATTTAATTTAATTAGAATGTTAATATCTGATAATGCAGAAAAAGAAACAAGAGGAATAGTATTACTAAGGAGAAGATCATATTCATTCGTTCGATATCAACGAAAATTCTAAGTAAGATTCTCCGACATTGAAACGATCATTTTTTATATTTTTTCATTTAATAGAATTATTCTTCCACTAATTTATTTCTAAAAAGAATAGTACTCCATAAAAAATCTAAAACTAAAAAATCTCTACGAGATTAAAATAAAAAATAGGATATAATTATTTTTCTCGTAAACGACACAGTGAAAAAGAATATTCCTCTCTGGATTACGTAAACAAACTTTTTATGTTTTCTTCACCACAGCCTTCACCATTAATTAAAAAAAGTAGTTTCGATGATTACATCACAAATAGAACATAATTGAAGTATGAAATCTTTAGTTCATAATAAAGGTTACATAGAGACTGTTGTAGAATATTAATCATTCAAAATCTAATGACATTGAAAATCATCTCGTAATGAACATCAAAATCTTATTAACGATATTTATTTTCTTAGACTTCATTTTTTATGTTGCTAACAAATTTTCCGTATGATTGCCTAATTTATTTTTCAGTTGTTAGCATTAAATCTTTTACAGTTAGATCAATTGACTATTCTACAAACTGACGACACTTTATAAACTTATTGGTCTTATCAGCAGAGAAAATTACAAAGATTCGATGTCAAAATGTCGCTGATCTGAGCAAATATTATTTATGAAATACTAGAGCAAGAGTTTTTCGCATCCGTTCTTTGCAAATTTTCAATGTTATAACCGTTTTTTTCTATTTCATAGTACTGTAAATAAAGTGCTTTCCGTGAATGCTGCAATCGATGTCCATCATTATTCTTTACTTTTTCCAGATGCTGTATCAAATGATATGACAGAAAGTAAAGTATGGAAAATGTTGAGTCATCATTTATCTTTGGACAATGAAATTGTTCGACTCAGATATCGTACTAATCAAATTAGAATTGTCATTATTTGCTAATTCTAAATAAACTGATTCAAATTCTTGAAATACTTAAACAGATTTTTATAAATATTGTTACTCTATTTCATATTCAAAATAAATACGTAGAGATAACACAGATATATCTTCTCTACAAATATAATGATTCTCAAAATGTTAAACAACTTCTTAATTTAATAAATTGGTTTCGAATCGGGACAATTTACGTTTCACATAAAACATACACACTATTTTTTTTATTTTAAAATTTTTAATTTCAATGATGGTTTTCTATAGGTTTACTATCAATTATAATCGAAATATTAATTATGAAAGAGAAAAAAGAAGATAATGTCATTTTTAAGTTACTTGAGAAGTAGTTCAAAAGGATTTGTTAATCTTCATTATATGATCTATACTTTACAGGAACAGATTCATTTTCAAGAAGAAAAAAAAAACAGGAAATAATTAATACACGACAAAAGTTTCACCCGCATTGACATGAATTTTTTATATTATTTTGACTTATGGCAATAGAATGCAACACATATACAGGGTGTCCGGAAACTCATTTAACAAAAGTTTGTTCGTATATCTTTACTGTTTCATTTAACATTATCAACAATTTTTTTTTACATTATAAGCGAATATACCGAGTTTTTATTTATCCGGGCGACTTTCGATAGTATCCTGCGAAACTATTATCTTTGATCGAAATACAAAAACTTTGCAATTTCTGTGAGATGCAAGTAGAACATTATGCAGCGTTTTTTCTTTAATTATTTCGTCTTTCTGTAGTAGCTCTCTGTAAATTTTGCTTCAAAGAAAAGGTGTAACAAAAATTTTCCATGTACATATTCTTGTAGAACTCGAGAGAAGCTCTATCTAACCATATGAAAATATCAAAGAAAAAACATCATCAAATTTTGAATTACTCGCATCTCACAAAAATATTAAAATTTTTGTATTTCGATCAAAGATAATAGTTTTGCAGGATACTATCGAAAGTCGCTCGGATATACCAAAACTCAGTATATTCGCTTATAATTTTAAAAAAGATTTGTTGATAATGTTAAATGAAACAGTAAAGATAAACGAAAAACTTTTGTTAAATGACTTTCCGGACACCTTGTATATATAGAGGAGTTCGAGACATTTACGCAGCACCTAGTGGTTTTCTGACTGTTTGCTTCTTCTTTGAGCACAGCAAAAATATGTGAATACATTCATTCTTGAAAGACTTGTTGAGAAATGAGATGGATCGTGTGAAGTGAGTTCGAGTTTATAACTTTTGACCATTTGAAGGGAAGATTTTTAACTCTGCTCCGTCAACGGGTGTGGGTGTCTGTGGTTGTGAGTGTGACTGTGGATGTGGATGAGTGTGGATCTTCACTTGATCTATCCCAACACGCACCCACACTCCATCTACGCCCACATCCATACACCCACACTCACACTCGCACTCCACATCCATATTACCTACTCACCTACACCCGCACACGTCCACACTCACACCCACACATATCGTATACGAATTATCTTATTTTGGTTTTTGTTTGAGAATTTTCTCGACAGTCATTCTTCAGATCAAAGAGTGTTCTAAAAAATTCTGCACAGTAGTGTTTTAAGTATTAAACATAAAATAAATGATATTTTTCAAAAAACACAGAGAATATCTCGTCATTAGTAATATCCTTTGAAACATCTGATGGGCTCTAGTGTCAGGATGAAAACATGATTGTTAGTAGAGTTACTGTATCATTGTCTTGAAATACATAACGCCTTCAATTTCAAGGAGTTATTGGTCCAAGAATTTGATTTCGTAGAGAAAATTTTTTCGACATTAGTTGCAAAGTGTACACAAGGCAAAATCTCTTCATCGCTGTTTTTTCACTTTTTCTTGTATCATTCAATAAAGAACATGGAGTTAACATGAGGGTATGGGTGTTGGCGGCTTCTCTTCAAATAATAGCAACAACCACACAGACAGTCGCATCTACATCCTGGCCCACATAGCTCTATTGAATGAAATGCTCAGCATATGCGTAGTCTTGAACTCAAAATAACTAGTGTATTGAGGATCGATACCAGGTTGAACCAACCACACAAGCGAAGTACTTTCTACATTAAGCTAAATTATCGTGTTCAGAAATAAAGCAGTTTCGAATTTCTGTATCTGACTGTAATAATCAACTTTCTTTGTGGGTAAAGTTTTGTGTTGCAATTGAACTCACTATCAAAAGTAGAGAAAATGTCATTATATTCATTGTTTGAATAGATATGGGCATTGTGAGGGAATGCCAAAAGAATAATATTCAACTATGATATGTATCAGTAGTGATTTTGCATGGTCAATTGAAAAATACTTTTTTCCTATTCTAACATAATCGATTGTTCGTGCATCGATTTTGTTCATTTCCAAAGGACCTCTGTTTATTGAAAGATTGAGAGTGTGGGCGTGTAGACGCTAGATGGGTGTTATTATTGTAAGCTTCTCTTTTATAAGCAAAGTGAATCGACGCTTGGGCTTGAATGTATTGTTCTATTGTTTCTGGGAACACCAACATCGGTTTGTTCACATCTACCCAAAAGATTCATTATAGTTGGAAATCTTGAGTATTTTGGATGAAATCTGTTTTCTATATTAGAAAAGCTATTGAGAATGCGTTAGCATTGCAGCTGGGTTCTTTTTACAAAAGTGACCGGAAAATTCACACATATCAAAGTGTCAAAAACGGCACAGCTTGATCGCCAAAACTTATTGATTGAGCACCACTGCTCCTGAGTATTGACAGTGCTGTTTTTGTTGGAAATTAAAAAGAAACCCACTACCGAAAAATCAACAAAGTTTACT